TGTCAAGGTCTATAACCATGTGAGGCAGGAGCATAAATGTCAGGGTCTATAACCCTACAAGGTAGAGAAAGAGGTTGCCAAGGTCTATAACCCTACGGGAAAGAACTGAATTGCCAAGGCCTATAATCGTACAAGACAGAGAAAAGGTTACCAAGGTCTATAACTTTATAGGAAATAGCTAAATTTCCATGGTTTATAACCCTACAAGGCAGAGAAAGATGTCGCCAAGGTCTATAACCTTATAGGAATTATGAAAGCAATTAATTAAGGATGGTGTACAACCAGTGAGACTAATCCACATGAAATGGGGTATCAAGAAGAGTATGACACTTGATCCAAAGAGGGGGTGCATTGTTGATGAAGGTTTTCGAAGTGTTAAATGTGCTCCCTGAGGAAGACTTATCAATTATCGATTCAAATTGCACTAAATTCTATGAGCAGAGGTGAATACTCTAAACACTGGGTCATGCGTCCCATACCCAAAGATATTTAGAATGAGGATATGAATTCTCCATTATCATTCTTTTTCTACTACTTAATGCTCGTGGTGCACAATTTGAATTGTAACTGACATCTGTTGAAAAACCTTTGTTGTGTTTGAATAGTAGTCTGGTGCCCAGTCTGTTTGCATTATTTTAACTTGATTGAAGTGTGAAGTCTTGAGTTGAGGTCCAAAGTAGTGCTACTGCAGAGTGTCAGTCTTATCAAATGATTAAGAGACTTATGGTCACTTGAATGGACTAGAAGATCATACAAGTGAATGAACCATTTGATCAAAGAGAACTTTGATTAATTAGTCAAATAGAAGAAGCATCAGATTGTGGGTTAAACGCTTAGATTTTTTAAGTCTAAAACCTAGATTATGGGTTAAGCGCTTAGATTTTTTAAGTCTAAAACCTAAGAAAAAACAAAGTACCATCAAGCTTAAATTATACAATTAGTACTATTACTAATCTAAACTTAAAATGAACATGCCATGGTTATTATTTTCCAAAAATTAAACTGAAAATAAAGTCTAACCTACATAATTTCTAAACTGAATGTAAGTGTATTTTCATTAACTTAAGAGAAAATTCCAATTAAGAAATGATCAATGACTAAATCAACAAAATTCTAATTAAATTCTAGATTTTTACAACATTTTTTAAGTATATTTTTTTCTACAACATAAAATGTATTAAAAGATAGAAAAGAAAAAGGTAAAAGCACTTAAACAAAAGGAAATTAAGTGATAAAAAAAACATGCAATGGCGGCGGCACATCATCGACAGCTACTCTAGCATCAAAAGGCCCAACATCATTTATACGTTCAACAGGTGGAATGATGCGAGGGTGTGATACAATGAGGTACCACTCCAAGTAACCATCCTCACACTACGAGACGTGTTGAACTGTAACTACGCGATCTCTAATGGAACGACCACAACTGGTGATGTTACTTTAAAATCACTTGTCAATTGTCAATTCCCACAGATGGAATCTCTGGTATTGATTGTGGGATGCTTTAAACATAATCATACTGTCACAGATGCCTCTCAAGAAAGTGTCTAGCGATCATGGTCTCCAACTGCATATAACCTGAATATAAAGAAGAGTCATCAAACTCACAGTGGACTCTATGATGAGTGTATGGTGTTCAAATGACATTATCTACAGTCAGTGCATCTAGCCTCCTCTTGTACTCAGCAACACCATCGGGATGTAACAGTTTGGGCCTCCATCTCCTCGCCCGTTGGGCCCCCACTTGAAAATGTTGCACCATTCTGTCACAGATGGTGGAGAAATGCTCGTATATCCAACAATGATATCAGAACACACACAATAAATAATAATTAAAAAATATTATTTGTAACAATTAAATAAAAAATCAACAACAAATAATAATTTCAAGTATACCTTTAATAGACTCAAATAATCGCAAGTTGTCTTGTCTCAAATAATGTCGCAACTCCAAGTGTTGTATACAGGATGATTAATGCAGCGCATCCCAAAACCGAACTAGTAAGTCAAGGCTACTGAACAGCCACACGTATCGGGCGTCAATATAAATACTTGACTTGTCCGCAAAGAAAGTACATGCTATTAAATGTAGCAGGTACACCCTAACGGCAGCTTGATAACTCTGTGTCGCAACAGGCTCTTCATACCTATCCCGAAGACAAGACATACAAAGGTGAACTCCCCTATTAAAGTCAAACTCCTCTAAGACGGCCTCCTCAAAAACTCCTAAATCGCGTGCATCTTTCAAACATGCAAGCGACGGGCTAATAGCAAGAGCCATCCAGAATCTGTCGGCATGGGACGATGAAACAATTAGGAAACATTATCTAGTGATAGTGATCTCCCCAAACGGATGATGAAATGAAGATGTCTCCTTATGCCATTGCTCAACAAAAGCAGTAAGGAGTGGAGTATCGAGCTTGATAAATGTGGTCGACAAAATCAAAGAGCTCAAACTCATGTACAATACGTCTGACCTGCTCATGCGATGGGGTCTTCGGGATGTTCTTCAGGTTCGACCCATGCAATGTCACCTTTAGTGGGAGACGGTCCTTTAACAAACAAAATTTAAAATAAAAATTAGCAATTGGCTTTCATGGAACAATAATTAATAAATTAAAGTTAAACATTATATATATATATATATATATATATATATATATATATATATATATATATATATATATATATATATATATATATATATATATATATATATATATATATATATATATATATATATATATATATATATATATATATATATATATATATATATATATATATATATATATATATATATATATATATATATATATATATATATATATATATATATATATATATATATATATATATATATATATATATATATATATATATATATATATATATATATATATATATATATATATATATATATATATATATATATATATATATATATATATATATATATATATATATATATATATATATATATATATATATATATATATATATATATATATATATATATATATATATATATATATATATATATATATATATATATATATATATATATATATATATATATATATATATATATATATATATATATATATATATATATATATATATATATATATATATATATATATATATATATATATATATATATATATATATATATATATATATATATATATATATATATATATATATATATATATATATATATATATATATATATATATATATATATATATATATATATATATATATATATATATATATATATATATATATATATATATATATATATATATATTCTCCCTGCCATAGCCAATATGCCACATGGTCAGCATATTCGATAAGCATCGATCAATCAATGGGTCTTTTTGAAAATTCTTCATCAGTATGCACAAACAGTTCAGTCAAAGGAGTCGTAACCCCTGTGTCAATAATAACTGATGAGACAGATCAACAACAACGACATATAGTTGGACCACCATATTTACAACACTGACATATGGTTGGACCACCTCATCAACAACCTCAGCAGCAATATGTGTCACATCTATCTCGATCGTTGCGTCAAGAACATCTTAGCATGAACAGCCTCAACATCATCTCAGGGTTGCTCAATTGTTCTAACACCTCGACGTCGGGTGTTACGGGTGCACGGAACTACCCTTGTTCAGCCAACCGTTTTCGGTATGAAACAGTTGGAATCATTCGTCCAGCTCGTATCTGGAAAGACTCAGCCCCAACAGCCCTATTCTGATTTGGCGCTCTATTTGTCGCTCTGCCTACAATAATGTCGTCTTTGCCCCTATATTTCATTAAAAAACACAGAAGAAGAAAAACTAAATAACTACCCGAAACTTTACTAAATTTAAAATTTTTCTAAATTTTCTAGAAAAAACAAAATTTTCACAACTACCTAAGATTCTGAAATTTCTAAAAATTTGCAAGTCATTTTATAACACATATTGTTAAATTGCTTAAATTTCCAAAGGAAATGATTTCACTAGTATCATAAATTTTTAGATTTCCTGTACAAAGTCATGTAAATTTTGTTATTTACAGTAAAAAAAACATTGTTTTTTAAATTTCAATAGAGCAATCGAAATTTCCAATATCGTTCCAGAGAACTCAAAATCGAGTATGTGAGAGGTGAAATTCAAAAAATGAGTGAAAAACGGTTGCAAATTGTCGATTCATACGGAATAAAAATGGTCAAATTCAAGTAAGGGTGTCAAGTTAAAACCTCAAGGATATCCTATCCTTGGTACATTTGAATGTTGTTCATTGGCGTAACACAGAATGGAGAATTCAATACTTGTTAGTAATGATCTCACTAACACAAATCAGCCAGTCAATTGTACGAGAAATATAAGATTGAATAGTTTCTTCTACACATTTACAAAATTAAGGTATCACTCCATTAGGTTGATTTCAATTAAATAAAGAGGATCAAAGACCATGGATCTTAGAATGGAAACACACCAAAGAGAAAGATTTAGAAACGGATGAGCAAGGAAGTGTGAAAGAAAACATCTATGTATTAAACATATTGAGTTCATTTAGATATTCAACTTTAGGTCAATGATATACAAAGTTTTCAAGATCAAGATACAATACAAGCAAAGTTTAGCTTAATGGCCCTTCACAAAATAGCCAAATAAGTTGTTTGAGTTGCAAGGAAACCTTACTGATTCATTCTCCACAGATGCTGGTAAGTGTTCTCTGCAAACCAAAATGCAAGAGACAAGCCCAAAATATTCTCTATATATAATAAGACCAAACTGTGAAATAAAGTTTTCACCTCAAGGATACATCAGATATCCCAAATTTTTACTTGTTTTTGAGAATCCTTAGCCTATACTCTTGCAAGCAGTAACCATTTCTTCCAAAACTTCCGTCAAAAAATTAGCCTCAGAGGCATCGGTATATAACCAAAATAACAAATACTATAGGTCCATCAATAACCGAGGCACGGTATGGTGTGAAAACTATCGAGCGCGAAAATCCCTTTTTCGACTTTGCTCTCTCTTCCAGTAATGGCCTGTTTGACTATCACCCCTTTGAAATTGAGATCCATTATATCCTGAATTGTGTCTATTAGAGCCTTCCCTCATTTGGTAACCCTGATTACCACCCGTCCAACCTCCTCCATTGTTCCTTCTAAATTGCGAGTCGCTTGAAACATAAGCTTTTTCCTGTTGCTTCCATCTTGATACATTTGTGCCACTGGTTCCCCATCCTGTGTTCATTGGAATTACATTTTGTTTGCTAGAATTGTATTCCCAAGAGTTTCCAATATTAGCCAAATTATTTGGTTGTTGCTGGCACCAAGAACTATCCCTGGAGTTGCTCCATCCTCCGTCGTTCCAACCCCAAGACTTATCATGACCACCTTCCCAAGCATTGTCAGTTAGTCTTTGATTTCCATGAAAGAAGTTACTCTGCCAGGGATCGTTTGTAGTAATCACATTTTCAGAATTATCATGATAATCCCCCTGGTTTTGTCCTTGGACTTTATTATTTTCTACAGTTCTGCCAAGAGATTTTGCAGCAGATTCCCAAGGATCGTTCGTAGTAATCACATTTTCAGAATTATCATGATAATCCCCCTGGTTTTGTCCTTGGACTTCAATATTTTCTACAGTTCTGCCAAGAGATTTTGCAGCAGATTCCCAAGGATCTTCACCATCAACTGAAATCTTTGTTCTTTTATTTTTTATGGCATTCTCTTGTTCTTCTCCATCTTGTTCTTCTTCATCGGGGATACTAAAGTGTGCATTATCAATTTCCATGATCAGTTCAGGGTCAATACAAGGATTCCAATCTACATGCTCAATATATGCATCTGGATCTGGCAGGGAAATGTCACAGGGAAGGTTTTTGAATTTCGCCCAGTAACGTTTTTTGGCATTTTGAAATGCTTCTTCGGCACCTGAATCCTTCCAATCAAGCACATTTTGGTGGCAATAGATCAGCTCTTTGGAATCAATAATCTTCTTCCATGCTACACAGCCACTCAAAGTGCAATATTTCTTCTCCCATAAAGGTATTCCATCGTGCCGAAAATCTAACAAAGTTGAAAAACAATAAATCCAGTTCATTAGTTATGGTATTACAGTAGAAGAACGGAATTATCACTAGCTTTCAGAAATAAAACTAACCACATGTAACCAAAAATACAAAAAGAAAACCACAAATGCTATGTCAAAAAATTATATGAAAGTTCACGCAAATTCTGAAATTTTTCTTAAACTTTGACAGCCAGAATCTATTGAACCACACCAATGAAGTAGAGTAGTCATCTGATATGTATTGGAATTTTATTCGAATGAAATAGGAAAGGGAAGAATTCCCCTGTTTGTCTGCACCTACCAATGTTGAAAGACCCCAATTTTAACAAAGTGACTCAAGATTCTTTTCATGTCCTGACTTGTATTATTTTATATACATTGCAATAATATACTCTATAGCTCTAACTATTTGAACCTAATAACTATCTAATTTTCTCTAACTAATTAAATGGGTTATCTAACAATACTCCACCCATTGCTACACTAGCATTACCCTTCTCCCATGTAGTGCAACCGGTCGGAAAGAATATAACCGTATACATTTTTGCCAGTGATCTTTAAAGCTACTGCACAACCAACTGCATCTGGCAGTAATGGTTGTGGAAGATTGGTCAGTTTGCACGTGAGCCAGAGCTGTGTCAGTGGTCATGATCCATCCCCTTCTGCGAGAGCACTCAAACACCCTTTCATTATTTGTTCCAGCCTCATGCTACCACAAGGTGATGTTTCAGTCAACATTTATACTTTCCCTTTGTCTTTGTTCCTTTGTTACTGTGATTCCAGTCTCTTTCATTGTTAGGTCAACGTTATTTCTCTCTTTTATACTCGTTCCTCCTCTGCGGTTGAGAACATGATCTTCACTAACCCTTCAAGACATCGCCGTTCCTTCTGTTTTCTTGTTTCATTTCTATGTCCACTTCCTTTCTTTCATCGAAGTTAGTTTCTGCTCAATCCAAGCTTGAGTACCGCTTGAGCACCACACCACCTAATAAAAGGTGGACATTTTTGTATTTTCATTGTCCTCTTTCAAACAATATCACCATTTCAAAACACTCTTAACGCTATGGCCTATGATCAGTGTGACTAATCAAGTAATCCAACCGCCCCAAAATACCAATCTCTTTTGATTAGCCACAAATACACCACCTTTCCATCTGATGTTTGAACCATTTTCAAGAACAACCTCGAAAGACATCATGAAGAGTTCCCCAATTTTACGGTACACATCACAAAACTTTAATAGCCCACACCTCCTAATTCTAAATATCCCCAATTCTTACAAAAATAACCCGATATCCTCTTCTTCTACTACCTCCTATTAGAAACAATTCCCTCTCTCTAACAACTTAAATTTACCATCTATTTAATGGTAACAACCTAATTTCCAAGGTTATCAAAGCCTCCAAATGGCTTCTTAAACAAATACTAATACATCAATATTGAATACAAAATAGCCTTCGCAACAACTACAATCACAAAACCTCTCTTTAAAGCAAGAACACAAGGCTACCCAAGTTTCACAAACCCAATGAATACAAGATCGCAAGTTCCAATTCAAACCTAAAACCTAAAACATCTCTAACACTTGGAATGCACAACTACAATCAACGAAGAGCTAAATCAAACCAAACCATCGAACGAGAATCTCAACAGGCAAGAAGCATATAAAGAAAAAGATTCACCTTTTCACCTCCTCTAAATACACTACACCAAACAACCTATACTATAACCACATTCAAAAACCAAACCAGACACATTCAGCTACATTAAACAGTTCCAAACCAAACAAAATCACAATCAAACTATAAACAATGCGTTACACACTTCATGCAATATATTGAATAAAACCGCTAATCTGGTTCGATTCCCACAACAATTCCACAACAACCATTTCTCTTTAGCTAGGTTTTCTACCTAACTAACACAAATTTCAAAAAAATAAAAAAATAAATAAAATTTCTTATCCAAACAAAGAAAAACATCATAAAATTTTGCAAAAGTAACAACAAATTACCAGGAAGAGGGGCTTTGATGTCGTAGAAAACAGAAGGACGATCGGGAGATCTACGACGGGAGAAGAACCGAGGACGATGATTCCATTTTCCCATTTTTCTTTAGCAATTTTTTTTAGGATTCTTCGAATTGCATCAACGCTTATTAATATTCAGAAAGTTGAAACGGAAGTGAAGAGTTTTTTGAAGCGGTTTGGAAGTGAAATCGGTATTTAGGATTTTACGGTGAATGAAAGAAATCCTGCTATTTATAAACCACTTGTCAGGTTTTGTACTGTTTACAGAAGAGACTAATGTGCCACGTGTTGATGATGAATCCAAAGGTCCCTTGTTGTTGTGTGGCATAATTTTGTTTCTTTTATTTTTTAATAGAATTTTGAAAATTAATTAAATTTTTGTGAATTTCGGTCAAAGATATATAGTTAATGTACTTTAAATGAAATTACTACCTAATATAAGTAGTAAAAATAAGAAAAACAGAGGAGTTGATTAAGATTATAATACATGCTTGTAAATTAGTATTGTGTCTGGGGTGATATTTTTTTTCCTTATCGAGGAATTTGCTAAGGCGATCTCATTTTTTTATACCTTTTGTTTTTTGTATGGATAAACTTTTCTATATTATTGAATAAGAGGGCTTGTGTGATAAGTGGGAAGTTGTAAAGATGGGGTTGCATGGACTTAGAATCTTTCACTTTATGTTTGCGGATGATTTGTTCTTGTTCGAGGATGCTTTAGAGAAACAGTTGTTGTGTGTCATGGATACTCTGTAGAAATTTTGTGGTTTGACTGAACAAGAAGTGAGTAATGAAAAGCCAGACATTCTTTTTTTCGAAAAATGTCTCAAGAAGTTTGAGGAATAAGCTACTCAATATATCCAAATTTAGAGATACCTTTAAATTTGAGAAATGCTTGGGAGTTCTTATTAGTGGCAGGAATTTGAGAAAAGTCGATTACCAGTATATTATCAATCAAATTTCATCGAGGCTGTCGAATTGGAAGGACAACTCCTTGTCGTTCGCAGGTTGTATTACGCTTGCTAAAAGTGTCGTTGAGGTTATTCCTATATATCCGATGATGACAAGCTTACTTTGTAACACCCCATTCTAACCCACCGGATAAATGAGAAAAACAACAATCAGAGTGCACAAAAACAGATATCATGACTGTCGTAAGGAACTGTCACGACCGTGGTGGTCATGACGACCGTCATGGATGTCACGACCGTGACGGTCATGACGAGCGTCATGGAGTGGTGACGACCGTCACACTCACAAATTCTGGGACGCATCAGAGGTGTCACATTTTCACCTTAACAGATAACATACACCTGCAGCAAAACATTTAGTAACATACATAGCACAGATCCGGATGAACAAATGACGACAACTTGTTTAACATCTTAATTATGCATCCAACCAACATTTGGAACTGTCCGAAAACAACCAATTTATTTGAGAAGTACTTAATATAATTCAGCAACAAGGAATTCAATTAAAACAATAACATCAATCGTTCATCCCCCCAAGAGTGCTACGTATTAGAGCGACCAACGACACCTTAAACGGAAAGCGAAATTTTATTCCGAGTTACCTGCAAATTACCACCAACGGAGGTAACATACAACGTAAAGGGTGAGATATCAAAATTATAACATAAGGCATGATAAAAGTCATGTCAGGATTATATCACAGCAGTTAAGACTCTCGCAGTCTTCCAAGTAATGTCGACAACCAATATCAAGAACTTATCATTCATATTCATAACAATTAACAAGCAAATTCAGCAATCCATCTTCACATACAACCACATAACGACGTGACACTATGCGACTCAACTATGCATATGCATGTGGTACCAATTTGGAGCAGCACTCCACAACCAATGTATTTGCCATTAAGGCCGCCAATACAGGCACAACCAACGCCAATACAGGCCAACCAGGATGATATGCTATGAGATGCAGCTATTATGGACTACAACTCAACAACAACAACCACTCAACAAGGCATTAAGCCTACAACCAAATTGTCCATAACCGAAGCATCACAATTTCATACGAATCACGTAACCACAACTTTCAACATAATATAATCAAGTGAGGACACCATAACAATCCTCTCACCAAGCTCGGAACCAAACACCATTTCACCTCGGTCGAACATCCCTAGACAAACGGCCAGGCGGAATCTGCAAACAGGGTCATACTCAGAGGACTAAAACGATGACTCGACGACGCAAAGAGGGCATGGGTCGAGGAACTCCACAGCATCCTCTAGGCATACCGAACTACGCCCCACTCAACCACGGGGGAAACCCCATTCTGCCTCACGTATGGAACCGAAGCAGTGATCCCGGTCGAGATACGCGAGCCACCCAGACGAACTGACGCTCCCTTCGATACCGAAGACAATGACGACGCCTTACGAGAGGAGCTCGACCTAGTCTAGGAGATTCGACCAGGAGCAGCCCTTCGGGAAGCCCGACTGAAACAGTAGGTTGCACTCCGCCACGACAACAAAGTCCTGAAACGTGACTTCCAAATCGGCGATTTAGTCTTGCGCAGAAACCAGAAGGACTCCCACGAGGGTAAACTAGCCGCAAATTGGGAAGGTCCCTACCGTGTCTGCGACAAGACGGAGCACAGGGCTTACTACCTCGAAAACCTACACGGGGAACAACTAGCTCGACCATGGAATACCGAGAAGCTGAAGCGGTACTACAGTTAAACACTGCCCGCGACGAACCAACGTCGCGGCCACTGGGGGGCACATGGTACCACCGCACCTCCTCGCGTCTCCTAACGACCAGAGAAAAAGCAAGCCCTGCCTCTTGTGTGCGCGGGCAGAAGGCCTTGCCCGACGGGGAACACCTCGATCGAGATTCCCCACCGTCGTACCAAAACCGGCAGGACACCCAGCTCGTGATGGGACGTCCACGCCGTGGGGAGAACTACCCCCGAACCGGTTAGGCAACAACGACGGCCAACCGGCCAGTTCCCTACACCGCCGGTAATAAGTATTGTCGAACTACCACCCCAGACAGGCCAAAAACACAAACATACAGTTCAAACATATGAACATACATTTCGAGCATATAAATGCAGAAATAAAACGAGTATAAACAACATGCAAAAAACGAGGCGCACACTTAGACAATTCTAAAAAATATATTAATCAAAAGCGGGCACCAGCCCAGTAGTCAATATTACATAAGCAATAAGGGCGCGCAGGCCCGACAAAGAAAACAACAAAATACATTGGCGCGCAGGCCAGAATACACGGGCACGCAGACCCGGGGCTAATCTATGCTCCCTCTTCTTCCTCAGCTTCAGGCTCGACGACAGGGACGACGGGGCCAGTCTCCTCGGCGCTCGGGTTGACCACCCGACCATCGACTATCTCGTGGAAGGGCCCGATTTCATCCTCGACGAAGGCGACCCCGGAGTTTACCACCCTAAGCTGCTCGACAACACCACTGAAGCCCGCGACGAAAGCATCCAGACAATCACCTTCCAACACCCGTATCCTGGCAAGCAGGTCAGCCTGGCTATTTCCAGCGCGACCAGATCCTCGGTCAGGACCTGCCTCCGCGTAGCCTGGTCAGCACTCAAAATCGCATTTGCCTCCCCGACAGGAATACTGGGAGACCTACCCCCATGGAAATAGCCAGGATGCTGGTGACAAGGTGCGATGGCGTAACCCTCCTCGGAAGAATCCACCGATAAGTCAACCACGGGCGCATCCTCCTGAACTCTCGCCCTCTTCGGGGGCCCTTGTGAAGTAGGTGACTGGCTGCTAGGCGGAGACGCCGACGACCCTCGTCCATCCTGTTCAGCGGAAGACTGCCCGACCAACTGGGCGACCCACGTCTTCGGAGGAACAACGGCTCTTGAGGCGCGCAACTTTTTCACCCGCTCCTCGATAGAAGACATGTTCCCTGTAAAACAAAAAAAAGCCGGTTAATAAAAGATAAAGAGTGTCAAGTCGTGAGAAGGCAAAGCATCTACCACCTAGGTAGCGTAGGGTATCCTCCTCTGAGGCACACTCGAGCAGGGCCTTTGTATTAATCAACCTCGGCGTCTCATGAATGTTCCCATAGCTGTCGTGGATATATCGGCCATCGGGGGTGACCAGCTTCGACGGCGGTAAATTGCGCACGAACGAAACTATCTTCAAATAACTGGCCATGTCCTCATCGTCGAGCGACCCCACGCGCACGATATACCGACCTGTTCCCCGAGAATAGTGTTCCAGAGACCACTCCACGTGCACCCGGGGCAGCATGACGGCCTCGCGGCGACCATCCACGATCCTCTCCCCTTCTGAATATAAAGAGCGGACCCCTTCGCGCGTGATCGGGCTGACCATGAAAAAACGACCGTTGAAGTCCCGGACAGAATCCATATACGTTATGAAAAGCCTGTCCGGCTGCTTGAACGACACCCAACCATGTCGACCGCTCACCGTTTGCCGTTGCAGATGGAAAATACGAAAGAACAACGACAGCGTGACGCCGACCTGGAGATATTGGCACACGAGCTCGAAAGCCCGAATAAAAGCCAGGGCGTTTGGGTGCAGCTGTGACGGCGCCAGCCTCAGCCAGTCGAAGAGGCCCAGGTGGAAGTCCGAAAATGGCAACCTGAGCCTGGCCTCTTTGAAGTAGAACTCATACATCGGAAAGCGCATCCGCCCATATTTCGAGCAGATTCGATGGCCTGACCGGGGACGATAGACTTGCCAGTTCTGGGGATCCCCTTCTTCCCGGTCCTCCACGGTGGCGTAGGCTCTTGTCGGATCAGAAGCGAAGTAGGAGGGCGTAGTTAGAGGCTCCTCGGCCACCCAGTCCCTGATCGGAACAGCGCGCTCATCAAAATGTGGGACATTCGGTTCATTATCCTCGACCATTGTGCCCAGGACAAGCGTAGTCATTAACACCTGAAAAGCAGAAGGTAATAGTGAATTCGATGACAGAGATCAAATTCACCCTTCCACCGCAAGTCAAGTGAAAGGGCGACGAGGACTCCCTGAGCATCGTCCCCGGTGGATCTACCCAAACCTACCACCTCCCCGGTTACTAGCATGACCCAACCTACA